GGGGGGGGGGGGAGGGGTGGAGAGGGTGGGAAAGTCACCTTCTATTCACACCTTCAGCACATGGGGTGATCTTTGGAATTCTGCCCTATCATCTTCATCTTGTGAAATGAATCGCAGTACAAAAGTGCTATGCCTATCATTTCCTATTCCAAACTTCCAAAATTTCTTATTTGGGTCTAATCTGCATCACCGCTTGAGCAAGTGGTTTTTCTTATTCACTGCCACTTTAAGATTTTTCGTTATTGTTCTGCCTCTGTGTGTGGTTGAGGTGGAGGGAGATATGCATACTTTCTGAAACTAAAACTAGCAGTCTTCATGTTTAGTGAACTGATTTATTTTTTATAACTTAGCTTTACATAGTCTTTACAGTTTAGCTTTATCTTAATCTTCCCTAACATACTAATTTTAGGGGGGTTTCTTTTATTAAAATTCCTTCAAATTAAGTGTCACAGTATTATCTCTTGCTACAATTCCCCTTGCACTGATGTAAACACATTAACATTGTGAGCACCTGAATTGACAAAGCTGGGCCTTGAGTCTTGTCTTCCTCTCCTTCCTCAAGGGGTACTAACAGGAAAGGTTAAGCAACACTGGAGACCGTAGAGAAGCCTTGTACAATGATAAGATCAATTTATTTTTTAAATGATCAATTATTTTTTGAAATAGGAGAATGCAAGACACTGTGCCCCTCCAACCCTCCCAAAGTGGCTCAGAAATTACCTGTTACTATCAGTCTGCTCATCACTGTATGGCAACATTGCTACGGTGCCTTCCTTTTGAGAAGTATGGAGCAGTATGGGCAGTTACTGTGCTATGTGCATGGTGCATGATTAGCTTTCACCACTGTCACCGTAGCAGCATGCTATACCTGGGAAGCACACCACTATGGTGACATAGCTATACACATGTGGTGCTACGTCACTGTAGCATGCTGTATGGTGATGTAGCACATTGCTACGACGCAATAGAGTGATGCATAGATGCACCTGAAGTGTATAAGATTAATGCTCTGAGTTTTGCTTCAGTTGGGTTTCACTTTGTTGTCCTTTCTGTTCAATGGGCAAGATCTTTTAAGAACACCTGAGGTGTTCTGATCTACAGAGATGTTACCATGCTGATGTCAGTCAAAAGTTTTACAGAGACATGAACACATGACAACCCTCCAACTGTCCCAAGAAAAAAAAATGCAGCTACATGACAAAACCCCTTGAACTATGGTAGATCTGCACTAATCTAGGAAATTTTACCCTGGTTCCAATCCAGGGTAATTCTTTACTGGGACAAGGTAGTTTCTGCCTAGCACAGCAATTACCTCTAGCTTTTGCCTCAAAGTTCCCAGTTTCAAGGCAACTCCAATCACACAGCTATGTCCAGAACCTTTCTTGCTTTCCCAGTACCTAGCAATGAAAGGGAGATGAATGAGGTGGCAAACATGTAGATGTGATGAGGGTTAGCAGGAAGAAACAGCTAAAGAACTTAGGGAATTTACTACTGCTCCAATGGTACAAACATTCAACTTTTGAACAGGTTTATATCTATGCATACTTATTACCTGAGTGTCCTAATACTCCCAGCTCACCTTCTTTCTCTCTGCACTTAGCTAAAAGACTGCAGCCTTTTTTCTCACTAAGTCAGACCTTGCTGTAATCATCCATGCCTTTTTAGCCTCCATGTTAGACTGCTGCAGAGCACTCTATTTGAATCTACTCTTAAAGCTACTCAGAAGCTTCATCTAGTGCATAATGCATCAACTTTTCTGCTTAATGGCGTGGGTCAGTCTCATCATGTTACATGCACTACATTAGCTTTCCATCTGCTTCAGATGCAATTTACCTTGCTACTTTTAATCATCTATAAAGTATGGGACCTGCTATCCTAGCTACCATTTCCCAATTTAGACAAGTATGAAGACTGGAATCAAGTGAGGCACTGTTCTCATTTACTCGATGTGGGCCTTTGAACTGAAGTCAGGGAATTTGCTGGAGTCTTCCTTGCCTGTGTAGGGATCTGTCAGAACCCAGCGCAAAGCCCATTTATTCAGCTGCTCCTTTGCCACATGATCCTAAACTGTGGCACTTTCTCTTCCCACTTCTATCTTGCTACTCAATGGGATGTTAGTCTTTACAAAGTGAGGCAACAAGATATGATGACAATAAAAACGTTACATTTTACTTAAAGACATTAATAATTTGGACATGAAAGTTTCACGTTTTACCAATTGCGCATACAGCTGCCAGGAAACTTATTGGGCCAATCCCCCTCCCAAGCTTATATTTTAGTTATGCATTCAAAGGAAACTGAACTAATTAACAAACAAGCAAACACACTTCTACATAGATTATATGATCTTAGTACATACACAGCTGTGATAATTACAAAAGTAAAGTTCCTGATCAGTTTACCAAACATGGAATTAATGAGAAATTTCTGGTTTGGGTTAGTTAAAGTTATATTACCACGTATTTTAAAATACAGTTCTTAAACAAGATATTTTAGACTATTAGGCTGCTTGCAGATGCTTTAAAAAAAAAAAAAAAAAAACGCTTTACTTTAAACTTGGTACACTCCCACATCAAGCCCCCGCACATGCCCAGAAAAGGTAGCGCCTTCATTGGACCCGGTTCTTAGGCTGCTTGCAGATGCTTTAAAAAAAAACAAAAAAAACGCTTTACTTTAAACTTGGTACGCCCCCGCACATGCCCAGAAAAGGTAGCGCCTTCATTGGACCCGGTTCACCTGACATCTGTATATGCTTCTACCCAGCTCTTCAGCATCTGTAAAGATCAGGTGCTTTAGTGGAACTTTTTTGGTGCTTTTATCTAAGAGCTGATTGAATGGACGCCAAAAAGGCCTACTGAAGCTCCTGATCTATATAGATGCTGCAGAGCCAGGTCAAAGTAACGTGCTGCTGCTTCTGGTAAATCATGTTGTTTGTTTGTTTGTTTGTTTGTTTTAATGTATGCAAGCAGCCTATGTTAACTTATTTCATAAGGTACTACACAGACAGAAATTAAGGCTAATAACAGGAGAGCAGCACAGACAGGCAGCTTCCCTCAGTGCCTCAGTCTGCCTTATTGATCTGGAAGGATATGAGAGGTTAAACTTTTTTTGTTTCAAATACGGCATCCCCTGAGGCTTCCATCTGGAGAAAGGAAAACATGAAGGAAGATGCGATGTCTTAAAAGTGAGAGAGCACTGCAGACCTATGGCTATAGCAAATTGTTACCATCTGTGGTTGCTGGACAGTTACGCCTTTGGACTAATAGAAATTGTAATTTACTGAATAGTATTGTATCATATATGATTCAGAGTTCTGCTGAATCTCTTTAGCTTAAAACAGCACATTTAAATGGCTTTTCTGGGGTCTATATGGGGGTTTTGGTACAAACATTCAAGTTTCCTCCTATTAGCAAAAGCTACCATCCCTCTCATCTCAATCAGCGTCTTTCATTGAAGGTCACCTGTTTTTAGAAAATGTTATTTCCTATGAGTTTCTCCAATATCAAAATGTGAATATTTCTAAAACAGCTCATATTTTTAAGACTACAATACATTAAGACAAAAATACATTATTAGTCATGTCTTACACGGTTTTGATTTCTATAATATGAATTTTGCACAACAATGGCTATGAGCAACTTACTGTTGCTATTTCCATTACTTACATAATTCTGTTAGTGATAGTATATAATGTAAAGAATGATTTGACTTACATAGATCATTGAGCTATCATCACCAGGAGTTAGGAGGGTGGCAGACTTGAACTTTTACTGATAATCCTACCCCTTCACCTGCCTTCACTCCAAGTAATTTCTACTTAGGCATTTCTTCCACTCTCAAAATGTTTCTACCAAACAGCATGAAGGCTTTCAAAGAAAATAATTCCTTTTTTTTTTTTTTTTTTTTTTTTAATGTTGAATTTTGGTCCTCTTCCTAAAGAACTCTGAAAGAAAGCTAAATGCTCTAAAGCCAGAACTAATATTAGGTCACTTTATGGAACTTAAAGAGTCTGCAAAATTATGAAAAAATATTGCTTTTAAGTTATGAACTACAGCATTATCTAGGAAAAAGAAGTAATGTACCATATTATGTAAGTGAAATAAAATATAGTCCTTAGTCCCCACTAGCTTTATTAAGGAAATAATTACTGAAACAATGAGTTGCTGTGTATTTTTTTTTTCTCTCTCTCTCTCTCTTAGCAGGCTATTGTGTTAGAGGATTACCCTCTCAGCAGCATTGTAGCAGAAAGGGATCTCAGAGTCAAAATGAACATGACTCATCAGTGTGAGGAAGTGATCAGTAAAGCTAACTGCATTAGCAGGTGCATCACAAACAGGTCCAGGGAGGTGATACTTCCCCTATGTGGCACTGGTGAGGCTGCAGCTGGTGTACTGCGTGCAGTTTTGGGTCCCATACTTCAAGAGGGATGTGGATAACCTTGAGAGGGTCCAGAGGAGGGCCACTCATATGGTTAGGGGCCTGCAGGTAAGGCCCTACGAGGAGAGATTGAGGGTCCTGAATCTCTTCAGCCTCTGCAAGAGAAGGTTGAAAGGTGATCTTTTGGTGGTCTACAAATTTATCATGGGGGTGGGGGACAGCAAGGAATAGGAGATGCTTTGTTTACCAGGGCACCTCTCTGAGTAACTAGAAATAACAGCCACAAACTGACAGAGAGCAGATTCAAGTTAGCTATCAGGAAGAACTTTGTCACAGTAAGGGTTGCCAGAACTTGGAATGGGCTTCCAAGGGCGGTGGTGCTCTCCCTTACCCTGGGGATCTTTAAGAAGAGACTGGACATGCACCTGGCTGGAGTCATTTGACCCCAGTGCTCTTTCCTGCCCAGGGCAGTGGGTCAGACTCGATGATCTGCTGAGGTCCCTTCTGAGCCTAATATCTATAAATCTCTATTCAAGTTGTGGAAATACCAGTAAAATTCAAAAGTAAAAAAGATCTTGTCACAAAACATTGTATGATATATTCATAAACCTAATTAGCAAGAAGTTATTTGTTCAAATAAGCAACAGTGTTGTTCCTATTCAGTTGAGGTGCAGGGCAAACTGGTCAGTATATGCAGTTGAGATGCAGGGCAACCTGGTCCAGCTCCACCTTGTGGAGGGTAGGGCCACACTAATCATATGCTACAGGCTGAGAGAGGGGATGACAGAGAGTCTGGGTTAACTGTTTGGTAATGTTTGCTTGGCATTTCAGTCTGGTGAAGAAACAAGAATGATTGCAAATGGGAAAGAAAGGCACAGCTCAGCTGCGGAAGTGAAGAGGAAGTTGAAATGTATTCAGTATATTGGCTCACCGTGACTTGAAAAAGAATCAGCAATAATGGGGGGGCTGCGCACAATGAACAGTAGCATATCGTATTCAGATGAACTGCATTAATCTATCCTTGTGGTTGGCCAATATGAGCCAAGTGCCACTTAATCAGCTCCATAGTTGGGTTCCTTTACTGAACACGTGCTGCTTTTGCCAGCAGTTTAATGATAGACAGTATATTTTTATGGTGTTACTTGGTATGTGAACATAAGATGAGGGGTTCCCCCCTCCCCATGCTTATGGTGGGGTGGGAAACCTCATCTTCTATTCAAGTAAATACAGTACTTCCATAATAAAATACTTAAATTGAATGTGAAGTAATGTTTTTTTTCAAGAACCCTCTAATTAACAGGTTTTTAAGTGACTGCAGCTTTCATATAAAAGGTATAAAAAGATATGACCATCATTATCTTCAGTGACTATTTTACTAGGATTGATTTCAAGTGCTTTGTACATACCAGACTTTCCATCTTCTCGACATATTTAAGGGTTATCCTATAATCATTTGGAAGATTTCCAACCTAAACCAACAAACAAATAGTAATAAAATATGAATATTATTAAGAAAATTGAGGCTCAGTTTAATCACTGCATTTACATAAAACTTATAAAACAGTTGACAATTTCTAGAATTTACTTAATAGTTACAAGTAACATCTAAAAACTCAGGGTTTAGGGATTTCACATTTGGCTCTTATTTGCTTAAAAGGCAAGTCTCTTTCTCCATATTTCCCAACTCTTCATAGAACCAAACTGATCTTATTCACAATTATCATCTCTTATCAGTATCCAAGAAGCTGATGCTGTGAAGGAGCAGAGTTAAAGAAGCAGGTTCATTAGTTATTGCAGGAATGTCTGTACATTTTTTCCATTGTCCTATCTGGAACATATATGGGAAGCAAGATATTCATTCTTTGAGTAATTCATAATGGTTCGAACAGGGTACCCCCAAGCATAAGTCAGATCCACGTTACAAATTTACAATGATAAAAATAACCCTCATGGAAGAAATTTAGGAGCTAAAAATAAAACATGTCAGAGGTTTTTTAAATTACTGAAAAGAAAAAAAACTAAAATGATAAAATCAGCTGATAATGTGGATACACAGATGTGATTTAGTTAGCTTAATTGTCCACATGATATTTTTGTCACATGGACACAGGAAAAAAGTGTAACATGATAACAGGAGAGGTGTAACATGGACAAGCATTCAAACAGGGTACACCCAAATAGACCCTGAACAATTTGTCCCCTATAAATATCTGTTTTTAAAAAAATCCAACTGTAAATTTTAAGAAAGCAAGCTGTTGCCTGACTTCTGCTCACTAATGCTCCCAGTCAGCAGAACACTTATTCACATATTTAACTTTGAGAATGTGCTTTAGATGCACTAAGTTAATGAGATTTAAGAGTATATTTAAGAGTTTTTCTGAACTAGTGTCTACACTTTGTTCGAACACCATCTCCAATTTTTGTGACCAAGCTATTCTATTGTGGACACTTTGGATTCAAAAGAAAAATCTGTTTCAATTGCTGCTATATCCCCTAGAGATGGATATTTTTTTTGTTTGGTAGCCTAACCAATAAATAAAATTAAGTATCAGATTGAACTGAATGATTCCTCCCACCCCTGCCTTTTTTTTTCTTTTGGCAAATAAATATTTATTTAAAGTGTGTGTGTGAACTCCAAATATTTCATTTGATATAAAATTAAGAGTTCTGTTTGGTTTTGGAACAAAGGAAAGACTTGGGTTAACCCTTCAAAGTTCTGTTTTGCAGTTATTTCTTTTTTTTAATATATGTAAATTTTTAAACAAAAATGCTACTGCAAAATGAAAAGCTGGAAGATTTAATTTAAAAAGAACTGAAATGGTCAAGGACAATATTTACCCCTAAATAAGTGGCTATATAGTTCCAACATTACATGGACACTGGCTGCATCTACATGTGCAACTACTGCAACTGAATAAACTCCAGTGCAATTTGCCCCAGAGTAAACTATTCCAGACATCACAGTCTACATGTGCCTTTAAGTGCAGTAATTTACTCTGCTGTTGGACATGTAGATGGTAACACTTTACTACACAGTAGACTAATTTGCTGCTCAGTAAAGTGCACGTGTAGATGTACCCACTGTATGCTGAGCTATAGAGCCTTCAAAATCAATTCCGTAATTCCTTAGATTCATAGATGTAGGGTCAGAAGGGACCTAAGTAGATCTTCAAGTCTGACCCCCCTGCCCTGGGCAGGAGAAAATACTGGGCTCCTATGACCCCAGCTAGGTAATTATTAAGCCTCCTCTTAAAGACCCCGCAAGGTAGGAGCCAGCACCACTTCCCTTGGAAGTTGGTTCCTAGCCGCCCTGACTGAAGTAGTGCCTTCTAATGTCCAGCCTAAACCTACTCTCAAACAGCTTATGGCCGTTATTCCTTATTACTCCAGGAGGTGCTCGGGGTAACAGAGTCTCTCCCATTCCCCACTGGTCCCCCCTCAGTAAGTTTATAGATAGCCACCAGGTCCCCTCTCAGCCTTCTCTTGTCGAGGCTGAACAGGTTCAGGTCCTGTAGCCTCTCCTCATAGGGTCTGCCCTGCTGTCCCCGGATCATGCAAGTGGCCCTCCTCTGGACCCTCTCGATGCTAGCCACATCCCTCCTAAAGTGCGGTGCCCAGAACTGGATGCAGTACTCTGTGGGCTGAACACTGTTGCATAGAGGGGAAGGATCACCTCCTTGGCCCTGCTTGTGATGCATCTGTGGATGCATGACAAGGTGCGGTTAGCCTTATTGACCATGTCCTCATATTGGCGGCCCATGCTCATCTTGGAATCGATGATGACTCCTAGATCTCTTTCTGCTACGGTGCTTTTGAGAAGGGAGTTCCCCAACCTATAGGTATGCTGCTGGTTCTTACTGCCCAAGTGCAGTACCTTGCACTTGTCAATACTGAATCCCATCCTATTCTCATTTTGCCCACCCCTGTAACCTGTCCAGGTCCAGCTGTATCCTGTCCCTCCCTTCTAGTGTGCCCACCTCACCCCAAATCTTGGTGTTGACAGCAAATTTGAAAAGGGTACTTTTCATCCCTTCATCCGAGTTGCTAATAAAGAAATTGAACAGTGTAGGCCCGAGGACCGAGCCCTGGTGGACTCCACTGCCCACATCCCTCCAGGTCGAATATGACCCATCCACTACCACTCTCTGGGTGCAGCCCCTCAGCCAATTTGTGACCCATCTGACTGTGTAGGCATCAATGCTGACTTTAAGGTGCCAGGTAAGGCAGCTTTTACTGTATATTATAAGGTGCTTTGGTGCATGCCTCTATATATATCCTCTGACTACTTTTACTGTTTTGGACTAAACACTTTGTGGATATTTCCATGTCAGTTGCCACATGTGCCATTTGATCCTAGAGTACTGACTCTTACACCAGAATAGAAAAATACTGCTATAGTATATCTGTCTTAATAATTTTTCAAACAAAAAAAACTTGGACATTTTCTTTTCTCTTTAAACTGGTTAATTTATTCTGTACATTTTTTTTACATATTTTTCTTCTTTCCTATAGCACAGCCATGTACCTCAACACATTAAAAGATAATTTAGTTTCTTTTCTGGTTTATTTGCTATGTTCATGGATTATCACTGCCCTAGCAGACTTAAAGCAGCAATGATACTGAAGGTGCTGCTGCAGGTGAAATGTTTTCCATACTTAATCCACAGGGATTCAATACTTAGCAGTGTCAGCACCAGTATATGCCTTTAAGAAAGGTCACTGGAAGATTAAATATGTTCCAGATCAATGAACACTACAAGAATTGACATACATTATGTATACAATCTACTTTACTGGCATCAAAGCCTGTCAAGCACTTTTCATGCACAGTTAGGAAAATACAAGTAGGCAAGATTAGAGTCTCTGGGAGTTCTAACAACTTCCAAATGAAAAGCTGGAGGTGAGAGTTCAATATTGGACTTTTTTTTCCCTTTGATCGCAAGTCTGAAAAAAAAAAATTAGAGAATTTGCTACTAGAAGTAGAATAGTGCTTCAAAAAGCACCTATTTTTTTTCCATTGACAAGAAACAGCTTTTACTAAGACTTGTTGATTTAATACCATAGACAGCATCATTTGTTGGTGTAAGTTAGCATAACTTAGGTCTCTGCAGTGACAGAAAGGGGTGTGTGTCTGTATAAGAGGTGGTGAACACATGGCTGCACTTGCCCCAGGGAAAGTCTGCAGAACTGTATCACAAGTTCCTACCCTGCCCAGGCAAGGCATATGAAAACTCCATGAAAGCCTATAATTGAGAAGCCATCAAGATGGTCTGGTATCATTGATGCCCTTACCTCTTTTTTTCTTCACTTGGAATTCTAGGCAGGGTAAGAATGAACAAGGAGGGAAGAAAGATTCCTGTTGAGCAGGTGGCAAGGACATAGATACTGCTTGAAAACACAGTAGAAAGAAATAAAGGATCTGACAAGTAGGCTGTTGCCTAAGAAAGTTTATGCTTTTCTGGACAAGTTAGTCTCCAGGGGTCTTTATAGACATACTCTGGGGGTGGTGGTGGTGGTTGGAGGGGATGCTTTACTTACAGCAGCTCTGACAGCTAAATTAAAGCACCTGGAGTGACACATGTATCAGCTTCCCCACACTGAAAAATGGAGGCAGGAGTGCTTTAACTAAAGCTTGATTGATGAGCTTTAGTTAAAGCACCTCCACTGCCATTTTCAGCACAGGGATGCTGATACATGTGTCACTGGAGTCTGCTGGAGCACAGTAATTACTACGTTCCAGCAGAATCAAGTCTGTTTTGATGCACTGTAATTGCAGAACATCGAAGCAGCCTCTCTGCACATGTGTAAGTGCCCTAAAAGCTGTGACCCTGACCTACCTGCTGCTTGACTTCAGACTAACAGCACTTTCTACAAGTAAAAAGAACTTACAGGAAAGGGACAAACCTTGTACTCAAATGGTTACAACCTTTAAAAAAAAGTCAATCCCCTGTAACGCTACACATAGGTCTATTTATAGATCAAGATATATAGAAATAAAAACCTGTGATGTCTTGCTAAGTACCAGGCTGACTGGGCAGGAGATTACAAAGATCTAAAAAATCCCTCCAAACTTGCTTTTTGTCATTGTAACAAACATACAGCTTTATTCAATTTACAAGGATTCTTTGTGTTGTGACTGGACTTCTTAACACTTCTCTCATTTACACATGTCTGCACCAGCCCTTCAAATCGAAGGAAAACAAGCTGCCCATCTGTCTCAGAAACTGCCTGTTGTCTAGCAGGGAATTACTTGGGCCAATTTAGTTCTAGTAGTTGGATTAAACATAATTTGTAGAAAAAGAGATTTAACCCTATTATTAAACTAGTAGATTAATAACTTTGTGTTCAGTAGTAGCTTTGCTTTAGGCAAGGAGGTCAAGGTTTAAAATAATCCAAGGATGTGAATGTTTTCCATCTTCAAAATCATACTGGAAAGATAGAGTGATTTTTATGACATATTACTATATAT